GGCGGCGCCCAGGGCGGGCGGGAGGAGGCGCGGAAGGAGCCGGAGCAATGTCCCATCATCGACAGCCAGGGCCTGGGGCTGGGGCCCGAGGGGGACCTGCAGGCCAGCCTGCCCCTGGAGGAGCACTCGCTGGAGCAGGTGCAGAGCATGGTGGTGGGAGAGGTGCTCAAGGACATCGAGACGGCCTGCAAGCTCCTCAACATCGCCGCAGGTGGGTGCCCCGGGCAGGGAGGGACGTGCTGGGGTGGGAGCCAAAGCCACGCTGCACTTTGGGGGCTGCGACCCATGGGGGGCTGGGGGAGCGAGGCTGCCCCCCAGGGAAGGAGGGTACGGCTCCCGGGGCTGCTGTGGGGGGAGCTGGCTGGCTCTGCTCACCCCTCACCTCCAGACCCCACGGACTGGAGCCCCGGGAACGTGCAGAAGTGGATCCTGTGGACGGAGCACCAGTACCGGCTGCCGCAGATCGGGAAGTCCTTCCAGGAGCTGTCAGGGAAGGACCTGTGTGCCATGTCTGAGGAGCAGTTCTGCCAGCGCTCGCCTGCCTGTGGTGACATTCTCCATGCCCACCTCGACATCTGGAAGTCTGGTGGGTGCCAGGGACTGGGAGGGAGCTGGGGAGGGTGGGCAGTGCAGGGCGTGCAGCAGGAGATGCCCTCCTGACCCCCCACTCCTCCCTTCCAGCCGCCTGGATGAAAGAGAAGGCTGCCCCTGGAGATGTAAGATACTGTGGTGAGTTCTGTGTGGGCTCGGCTCCACTGGCCCTACTCCTGCCTCAGGCAGGTCTGGGGTACTTTGAGGGGGTCCCTCCCTGCTTAATTGCAATTATCTGGCTCACTGGAGTGGCTGTTGCTGTGAGATCTGTGTGGTTACACAGATCTGCCCCAGAGCAGCCCCAGGGCTCTCTGCAAAGTGCAGCAAAGGGGGAATGGCCATGAGACCCTCGCTGGCCCCAGCCCACATCCCCTGCACCCCTGCAGGCTGTACAAGGCAGGACTGAGCTGTTCTTCCTGCTCCAAGATGAAGAGGAGAAAATGAAGATTCCAGACCCAGTGCCTGGTCCGAGTCTGGCACTGAGCTGGGGTTTCCCAGATAACACTCGTGCAGGTCCCTGGGATGGTGCACAACAGCGAGGTCTTCCCCTCCCTCCTCTCACCCGTCCCTTCCCCTGGCAGGGGGTGACTCCAGCTGGGCCGACAGCGAGGTGGACTCGTCCTGCGCCGGGCAACCCATCCACCTCTGGCAGTTCCTCAAGGAGCTGCTGCTGAAACCCCACAACTACGGGCGCTTCATCCGCTGGCTCAACAAGGACAAAGGTGTGTGGGGATGCTCGGAGGCCCCGGGGTGGGCACCGGGGGGGTGGGGAGCAGGCGGGGCTGCAACCAACCCCCCGTGCCCCGCTCCCCTCCCAGGCATCTTCAAGATCGAGGACTCGGCGCAGGTGGCCCGGCTGTGGGGCATCCGCAAGAACCGCCCGGCCATGAACTACGACAAGCTGAGCCGCTCCATCCGGCAGTACTACAAGAAAGGGATCATCCGCAAACCCGACATCTCCCAGCGCCTCGTCTACCAGTTCGTGCACCCGGTGTGAGCGGGACAGGCTGAGCCCCGGGAGGGACAGGGCACTCACTGCCTCCCTCTGCCCCCAGCCACAGAAACCCTCTGCCAGCACTGAGGGCCTCGGCTGGAGTGCGAGAGGCCCCCTGCCCCCAGGACCTGCTGGATACAGACCCAGAGACCCCCCATTCCCCAGCTGAGGGACCACCCCCCGTGCCCTGGTGCGGGGCAAGGGCTGTGCAGAGCCCTCATCTCCCCTGGCTGGGCTTGTCCCCCCTCCTCTCCTCCCCCCGGGTGCTGCCTGCGGGTGGCTTCGCCCCAGCCATTGTTCGGGGAGGACAAAGCCTGGGCATGAGCTGGGACAATGGAACCCGCAGGGACAGGGCACCCTCAGGGACAGGACCACCTGCCCCTGGCCGTGCTGGGGCCGCTGGCCAGACCCAATCCAGGCAGGAGCAGCCTGGCACTGCCTGCCATGGGAGCTGTGCCCCTGGAGACCACGGGCATCCCCTCGGGACAGGTGCACCCCCTTCGCTTTCCACTCCAGGACACACTTGGCTTCCCCTCTCTGCAGGGGTTTGGGGCTGAAAACGGGAGTTTTTCAAGGACCAGCTGTAAATGTGGGTGTGGGGCTGTGCACAGTGGGGATCCCCCGAGTTGGGTCCTCCACCTTTGGGCATGGGGCCACCAGAGCCCTCCTAAGATCCCAGGTCCTGTGCCCTGGCACAGGGCTTTTCCCTTGATTTGGATTTTATCTGGACTGCCTGATTCTGTGGTTTGTGAAAAGGGAGATGTCAGTTTGCTGTTTCCCTCTGGACAGTAAATCTGGATTGTGACCCACTGAGGCTGGACTGGGACAGAGAGCTGGGGATTGCTTCACCTGTGCCTTGCACCACAGTCAGAGTTACCTGGAGATGTTGATCTTTTATATTATAGGTTTTTTTATTTGTTTATTTACTTTTTGGTTTTGGCTGGCGGCGAATTGTGGTTTAGGTTCAAATGCCGAGGGGTGGCCCGTGCTCCCAGGGATGCTTTGTGGGAGCTTAAGAGGAAAAACACCTGGTTCTTGGTATTTTGTTTTTACCTTAAAAGAGCTGCCTGTGCTGGCTCCTGTCTTTGCCTCTGTTCCACCTGCTCCGTGCTGCTCACACACTCTGTGTGTGAGTCCTGCTCCCCATCCCGGCTGGAGGGATGGAGGGCAGCCAGAGGGAGGAGAGGAGTAGGGGAAGGAGAAAAACTGCCTTGGCTTCTGGAAAAGGGGATGAAAAAACAAATAATAGGGGGGGGGAAAGCAAAATGTGTCTTGTGATTTGCTCTGTGTGACCGACACTCCTGCAGCCAGTGCAGGGGCACCAGGAGGGTGGGCTGGGGGTGCCCCAGATCTGGTGGTGCCCCAGATCTCGTGTCCCTCTGGTGACCCCTCCAGGTGTCCCTCTCCAGGTCCTCTGCCAGGGTGGGAGAGGGCAGATGGTGGCATCAACTTGCTGTGCCAGGGCTTTCCCAGCCTCGGGGAGTGCTGGGTCAGGGCTGGTGCTGGGAATGGCCCCAAAACCTAACGAGCCCCCCAGGGGCTTCCCAAGGCTTTGTCTGGGAGGGGCACAGGAGTCCCCAAAGGCTCTTCCCCCCTCCCAAAGCCCCCAAGGACCCCAGCAATGCATCCGAGCCCCCCACCCCTCTGCAGCCCAGAGCCTGGGGGGGGAGTCACTACCTGGGGGTGCAGTGGCTGTGACTGTGCTCTCTGGGCTGCAGGGGGTCTGCAGCCCCCCAGCCTCCCCCAGGGGGGCACACGGCGGCAAAGGAGACCCCAGAGCCAAGGACGCGGACAGAGCTCGGTTATTTTCTCTTGCTGCTTTTTGTTGTTGTATCCACTGAAATACAATCACGATATATATATATATATTATATATATACTTCTTAAATTACACAATCGATGTACAAAAACCGGGGTGCATTGCTGAGACAGGTGGTTGGTTGGGTCTTTTCTGACTTTGTGGTTTTTTTCTGGTACCTGGCAGGGGCCGGGCGGCTCCCGCCCACCATGCCCAGCACACGGTGCTTCCAGAACACTGGATCCCTGGGGCCAAAAAATTCACGAACCACAGGAGGGGGTGGGACAGGAGCGGGAGGAGCGTGCAGGAAGCTGATGGCATCGACGCTGCTAAGGGGGATGGTATGGAAAAAAATGAGAGGGGATCTGTAGGGAAGAGCTCGGGGTGACAAATGCACCCGAGGCAGAGGGGTGGGGTGGCCGTGCTGGGGGCAGCACCCGTGGGGACTGCAGGGCTGCTGCCCATGCTGCCCCCTGCAGAGCCCAGGGGAGGGGGGGCAGAGCCCCTCGGGGACAAGCAAAGGGCAAAGCCTGTGGCCATTCCCCTGCCTTGGCATGCCTTGTTCTCAGCCGTCTTCACCAGGCAGCTGCTCTGCCCGGGCTGGGTCTGCTGCCTGTGCCAAGCCCTCCTCCTCCTACTCCTCCTCCTCTTCTTCTTCCTCCTCCTTCTCTTCTTCTTCCTCCTCCACTGGCTGCAGCTGCTGCTGGTGTCCTGCAAAGCTGGATGATGCTCATCCCCCCTCCCTCATCTGCTCCTGCCTCTCTTCAGGAAGGGGGTGGACGGAGACCATCCCCAGCCACGTCCAAGCCAGTCCTCACTATCCCAGGCTGGGTGTGAAGGTGCTTCCAGCAGCACTGGGCTGTGGTGAGTCCTTCTCTGGACAGCGCTGGATTTTGGGGCCATCTCACCTGGATCTGGTGTGTGCTGGATACCTGCCCTCCTGAAGGGTGGAGCTGCTCCCTGCAGCACAGGCCAGGCATCAGCTCGGGAAGAGGAGGAAGCTGAGGAGATGCCATCAAGCTCCACAGTGGGGCTGGTCCCACCTCACCTGGGCATCTCAAGGATGGCCGTGGGGCTGAAGGGGACCAGTCATCCCCTTCCTCGGGGTGGGAGGATGAACTGGGGAGAACATGGAAACACCAAAAAAAAAAACCGGAGTCAGACTCCAATCCCTCTCAGTTTTCTGGGATGAATTTGGTTGGTCCCAGGAGCTTCGGCGCCGTGCATTTCAGAACAGTTCCAGCCAATCAGAAGGCGGCTCATGATTTCAGTATCTTTAAAAACCAACCAATCGGGAGCTCTCACTGGTTGGGCTTTAAGATCTTGAGGTATCGGCTTTTCGCTCGGAAAAAAAATCAACTAACGTAGACGGACGGACAACGTCATCTTTCGCTTCACGTTATCTTAGAAGAAAGCGACTATGCAAAATACTCTTCGGAGACAACTCTTAAAAAAATAAAAGCTTGGTCGGAAAATATGTCTGAATCTCTAAGTATGAGGAGTGGAGGACCAGACGGCAGAATGGCTGGTTGGCTGGTGGAGAGATGGAGACAACGGAGGGTGGATTTATCTGCTGATGGTGACGAGGAGCACACCACAAGACTTAGATTGCCTCCACGTAGTTGGCGGGGTAGAGCCCTAACTGCCCGTTGTCCAAGCGCCCTTTGCACCATCCCTGCTCGTCTTCCTCACCGAGTTTGGTTAGTTCATCACCTGGAGAGAAAGGTGGAAGGGAAGAGCTCGTTGCAGGTGCTGGAGATTCTCCTTCCCCCCTGTTTCTCCCCGGGATGGAGCTGCTGGGGGTTTCTAGGACTGATCCTGAGCATGTTGGTTTGTAGGGTAGAAAAGCAAAGGGTGACCCATGAGACCTCACGTGCCCTGTCCCACCATCACTCCAGTCCCACCCACGCTTGGGCTTAGCTTCTGCTTTTTCCTTTCTGACAGATCAACTCTTTGAAGGGCTGGGCTAACTCAGGAATTATTTGAGGGATTTCACACCAAAATGTGGGGGACCCACAGCTCCAGCAGACGATGGAGCGTACCTGCTTTGAAGCTGAGCTCGTCCTGCTCCTGCCCATCGTAGTCGTACAGAGCCCGCACCCGCACGCCCTTCCCCGCCGCCTCCTCGTCGAAGGGGTTGGTGCCGCCGTTGGCCTCGCTGGTGTTGAAGGAGTTGCTGCCCTCGTCATCGGACCACTCGGCGCTGTAGGTCTGCCCGCGGTCGTGGCTGCTCACGCTGGGTGAGGGAGGAGGGGGAGGAGGTGGCTGTCACCGAGGACACCCCGCACCCCCCAACACTGGCAGTGCCCACTCTGGCAATGCCTCTCCCACGGCACCTCCACGCTGCCCTCACCTCCCACGCTCGCCCGCCAGAGCCCCCGACTCGCTGGCGCTGCTGGCGTTGGTCAGGGTCACCCCCTCGCCCTTCTTCTGCTTCTCCTTCCGCGTTATCGTGTGCGTCAGGTCTGGGTTCCACTCCTGCAACCACAGAGCAACCCCTGAGCACTCACCCGGCCCCCAGGGCCACCAGTGCCCAGCCAGGGTGCCCAGCCAGGGTGCCCAGCCTCACCTCAAACTGGGGCCAGTTCATGGGCATCCCGGGGCCACTGGTGCTGCGGAACCACCGCAGATCCTCCTGCGCGTCCGAGAGGCGGATGGTCTGCTCCAGCTCCCGGTACACGTTGGCGTAGCTGCAGGGAGAGACGGGGTCAGTGGGCTGTGGGAGCTGGGGCTGTGTCACCTCCTCCAAGGCACCAGGCTCCCACACAGCCTCCAGCCACTCTGGTACCTTTTGGTGACCATTGTGTTGCCCAGAAGCTCCCTCCCTACCTGCTGCTCTCAGCCAGGTTCAGGTGCCTCTTGATGTCCAGGAGCATTTCCTTGAGGAAGTTGAGTCTCTTCTCCTCAAACTGCTGGCACTGCTCGAAGACCTGCTCCATGCTCTCGATGTACTGCGGGGTGCACTTGTTCAGCTCATCCAGCACCTTCTCGTACTTCTCCTGGGTCTGCAAAGGTGTAGGAGGGACCTCATTTGTACCTTGAGCACCTCAGAGGTCATTTCTGGATGCTGAGAGATCTGTTTGGGGGTCACCAGGCTGGGGAGCCCAGATTGACCCAAGAGCCTTTGTGGGTAGAATCAGCCTTGTTGCTGGAGAGATTTTGCCCCAGTAAGAGGGATAAATCCCTGTCCTGCTCACACTCCCCTGGGGACTGCTTGCAAGTCCTCACCCTTCTACAGGAGCACAGGGATGGGAAAATGGGAATGGATGGTGGACAAAGGGGTGTGGTGGCAATTTCCACTGATATCCTCTGCTTGATGCCTCGTGAGCCCAGTGGCTCGCACCTTTTGTACGTCTTGCTTGCACTTTTCCACTTTGTCCTGGAGCTTCTTCTGCTGCTCTGGGGTGTTGGACTGATCCGCCTTGCTGTTGGCTTCCCGGGTCATTGCCAGCTTCTCCTCCTTGCAGGCCAGGTGATAGGCTTTCTTGGCTGTCTCCAGCTGTGGGGAGGAGAGGGAAGGGACATCAGAGAAGCGGTCACAGGCCCCTGTCCATCCCTCTGCCTGCACGGAGGTGCCACCCGTGTCTCCCAGCCTGGACCAGGCACACAGAGCCAGAGCTGGGAGATGCAGGGATGCCCCAGGACACTCTGTGCTTCTCTCACCTCCTTGAGCTTCTTGGCCCAGGGCTTCTGGGCTTTCCGGAAGCCATCCTCAGCCTCCTTGGCTTCCTTGAAGCCCCCCATGATCTGCTTGTGGTAGGCGTCCTTCTGCCAGTTCTTGACCTTCTCGAAGTCGTCGTTCAGCAGGCTGTTCTTCACCTCCTGGTGCAGCTCACTCACCTTGTCTGCCTCCGTCATGATGGCTGCCCACGCCTTCTCCAGGCTGCCATACTGGGGACCTGGGGGCCGAGGGGACACTGGGGGTCACTCCACAGCCCTCACCCCTCTACCCCTGCCAGGGGAAGCTGGGATGGTGCACGGGCACCCAGGTGTCCTGGAGGGACCTTCTCCCTGGGGAAGCCATGGTACCTTTCTCGATGAGCTGCCTCCACCTCTTGGACCAGTCAGTGAGCTGCTGGGCATAGGACTTCTCGATCTTGGCCCGCTCGTGCACACAGTTCATGAGGTCGTTGCAGAGCCGGTGTCCATCGTCGATCCGCTTCACCGTGCGCTTGTAGTTCCCCACCTGGGAAAGGGAGGGGACAGGCAGGTGTGGGAGCTGGGCTGGGCTGCCTGGCTCAGCCTCAGCTGGCCTGGCCTGGGGATGGAAGAAGCACCAGGCAATTTTGGGGGTGCAGGGAGGGTGCTTTGGTTTGGGGCTGCTCAAACCCAACTCCTTCCAGTCCCCTTTGTCGCTTTGTGCCCGTTGGGGACAGCAAAGGTTGAGACCTCTGGCAGAGCAGGGATGCTCTCAGGCAGGGAGGGGAGGGCATCCCTGTCCCCCCCAGCCCCGGGGAACCTGGGGTGCAGCCACAGTGGTGTCAGGGCTCCATGGGAGGAGAGGATGGCCAGGACTCACCTCCCAAAAGCTGTCGGTTGTTTCCTCCGCAGCCGCTGCCGACTCGTCGTAGGAACCCGACATGGCTCCTGGTGCTGTCTTGGGTGTCAGAGCGGGCACTGGGTGGCTCCTGGGCAAACACCAGCCTCATGCACTGAGGGGAGAGGAGAGGGGAGTCATGGGGATGAGCAGAGGACCCCCATCCTTCCTGCCAGTTGCAAAGCCAGACAAGCATCCAGCTGCAGGGGACGGGCATGGGGATGGTGCCCGCTCCAGCTCTGGACCCACAGACTCCTCCAGTGCCCACCCCCCACTTGGTGCCATCCAAACCCCCTGGAGCTGGCTGTGCCCGCAGGGAATCACGGGGAGCAGCACAGTGGGTGCTCACCAGCCGGGGCCTGGCTCAGCACCACGGCCCCGGGAGCCGCTGGGCGAGGGTTTGTGGCAGGGCCAGGGGGATGTGCCACCCAAGAAATTCTCGTCCTGATATTCCACCCTAATCCATCCTGATCTTCAGAAAAACGGCATCCCCCGAGCATCACGTGGCCTGGCTGCACAGCTTAACCCTTTGCCGCTCTGCCAAGAGCTGGGAGGGGGCTGGGGGTTAGGGGTGGCATCGCATGGGGTGGAGGGGACACCGTGGTGGCCATGGGCATCCTCATCATCCCCATCCTGACCCAGACTCGGACAGTGCTCCCACAGGAAAGCACTGAGTCTGTCCTGCATGGCATCTGCCACTGGAATGGGAACAAAGTGGCCACGAACAACCCAAATTTCCCTCTGCCCTGTCCCCAAAAGGCCTGTGGGAGGAGGATGTGTCCGAGATCCCCACACACCATCCCTTCCCTGGGGCAGCAGAGTGGGCAGAGGGGGGCCCGGTTGCCTGTGCCCTACCCCACACCAGCCAGAGGGCGATGGGGTGGGAGGACAGTGCTGGGGGGCAGTCCCTTGGGGAGCAGTGGTGGGTGTCCAGCTGTGCACACAGCTGGCCCCAAGGCACCCTCGGGCTGGGACAGGGCACGGACCCAGGAGGATGGGGGCCCGAAACAGTTACTGGAGCGCAGCACAGGGCTCGCTGTGCTGGAACTAACAGGGCCTGGCAGGGATTTAGTGATATAACCAGGGAGGCACCAATCCCCGCCGCCCTCCCCAGACAGTTAAAAATAAACGCG